ACCCTTCGCTAAGCCACGCCCGAAAACCGCCACTGGCCAATCGTGGCTTAGCAACCGTAACTAGGCGCGGGAGGTCTGTCAAGCTTTCGAGCGAGGGAAACATGCCGACGCGTTGTGCGTATGGATTGTGCAAATCTGATACCCGGTATTCTAAAAGTTTGGACGGTGGGGTGGCATTTTTTCTCTTCCCGAAACCTAAAAGCCAAAGGGGAGAAATCCCGGGCGTGGATCAAGCAGTGTGGAGACCCATTCACAACTAAATGTCGACAGGATTAACAAAAAAAACCCGCCTATTGCTTGGAAATAATGGCGGTTCTTTGTTCATAATGCATATATTTGAACGTAAAATAAGACGATTAAAGGCAAGACGGAGGCTCACTGACATACTTTAAAATATATTTCAGCATTTTGTTAATCGACGGCCTGCTAACGTCACCCCTGTAACTTTACCCCAATCCGATCGCGGCTCTCCCGGTGTTAGATTGATGGATAAGCTGTTTGATTTGTAATTATTAGATTATTTTCACATTTCACTTACTCTGCTGTGCATGAACATAGCTGTTCAATTTGTGTGTTTCCCATTTGAATGGTCTGCTAAGGAGGCGGCTGCTGCTTGCGCTGGGACCTAACGTTATCCGGTTGTTAAGTCGTGACGTAACCACTCTCCGATAATACTGTTTCCGGGTCCAAAGGCCGGGTCCTCTCTACCTACCTACCGCTTTCGCCCGAGTTTTAACGTGTTCCCGTGTTGTTTAAATAGATCGGAGTTAAAAAACAAGTGACATTCAACTGTCATTCTACCGCTTTCCCTGTGACGAGAAAGATAAGAGAAAATGGCTGCAGTTGATAAGGTAAGTTACAAATCTTAAACGAATGAAGAAACTTTGGCGCCAGTGGGTGCTATCCCTTAATCCCTAGTAACACCCACTGGCACTGAAGCGAAAAAAGCCCTTAAGAAAAGGGTTTATTTAGTCTAGGATCTGGAGTGGACGAGCGGAGCGCTTGGGCCCGGAAGAGGCTAAACGTCACGCGTGACGTCAGACTTAACAACCGAATAGGCTTTAGCTTCAATTTTGATGAAATTATTCTCTAATCGGTTGCATATTATGTCGTGGATATATCCCTTGAATGCATACTGCTGTCCTTTTTGTCTTGCTCTCTCAGATATTTCACCTGTTCGCCAAAAATGACTAATTATCTCCTTGGGAATGTCTGACACCGGTGCATTCACACTGTAATAGACGTGGCAGCCGCGAAAGCTTGACAGGCGTAGCAACAGTAACTAAGGAGGGCGGGGCTAAGCGAAGAACTTGTTTCATAATGGATGAACTTTACACAGTTATCGAACTGAAAGTTGAATGTTGGATTTTTCCATAGACATAATGATTTTTATACTTTGCAAACTGTATATTCTATCCGGTAACCCTAAACACAGCCCTCACAGAAACCTTTCTGCATTTTTACATTATCAAAAAACATAATTTAATATGATTTATAAGCTGTTTTCCTCATGTGGACAAAAAATGTCATTTTGTCCCAGTAATGTTGGATTTACCAGGACCACACACACACAAATACACACACACGCACGCACACACACACACACACACACACACACACACACACTGTGGATGGGAATTAGACATCTACTAGTATGTCTGACTGTATTGACTGAAATCAATGATTTTACACCAATAATATAATAAATATTTTTGACAAAATGAAATTTAAATAAAAAGGAGCAGAACCCTTTACACATATTTAGACTGCTTGTACATGGTATATACTATTACAGTAGTGATGGAAAATAAAATACAGTATAGAGAAAGAGAGAAACAGAGAGATGCCTTTTTGTGCCAGTTTAAAATAGACATTGGCCTCAGGGGGACCGTCAGCATGACGCTCCGTCATCACACACACACACACACACACACACACTGTTGATGGGAATTAGACCTTTACTAGTATTAGTGACTGACTGTATTGACTGTAATCAATGATTTTACACCAAAGAGACTCTGCCTGGCTACTGTACTGTCGTTTGATTGGCTTAATGATGGCCGAGATAAACGAGCGCACGTGATTGGTTGACCGCAGCACAGGACATCGTCCACCATCATCTGTGAAGCCGATTGGCCGTCTGTGACCTCAGACACACACAGCCGAGGGCCTTTGACCGGTTATTAAATGCACTTTTCTTTAACTTGACAAGATCAATGGGGGAAAAATCTGAGCCAAGATATAAAATGATATGCATAGTCATCCTCAGAAGATCAACAAACGCTTGTGCTGAAGCGCATGAGAGTGGAGGAATCCTCTCTGTCGTCATGGTTACGCTCTGCTGTGATCAAAGCACATGGATTCTGTTCAGTGTTCGGTCTCTGACACACACAGTGTTTGCTGACCTCTCTTTGATTCAGGGCTGTGGTTTGATCGATAACCAGCACGACTGTGACAGGCACATCTGGTGCCCTGATTCTCACTTTTTGCAAAATAGTCAAAACACAATGGACAAAAATGTAGTTTTCAATGGCACACATTTGCAGTGCATAAATTGTTTGTCCCTTTCCATATTGCTCTTTTTGCATTATTTTTAATTTTGTATCTTTTCTATCTAACTATCTCACTCTAAAAAATGCAGGGTTATTTCAACCCAAATGTGGGTCAAATATTGACAAACCCAGTAATTGGGTTAACATTTTAAATTACATTTTTAACCCAACGTTTGGGTTTGTCCATATTTTAACCAAAATTTAGTTCAAACAACCCAGCAATTTTTAGAGTGATCTATCTATCCATCCATCCATCCATCCATCCATCCATCCATCCATCTATCTATCTATCTATCTTGTCTGTCATTATTACAGTTTTTCTTGATTACTAACAAACAATAACTGATTAATTTGGCCCAATTTCCCTGAATCATCAGTTCTCGAAACAAAGACACGTTTCTCAAAACGTTTGACACATTTCACCTGTTTTAAATTTTCTCAATATTTCCTGCAATACTCATTTTGCACACAAGTACACAATAGCACACATTTATCCATGTGTAAACGTAAAAACTGATGAGACATCAATCAGAATCTCAGGATAATATAATTAGAGCCACGGGTGATTGTGTGCTTTGGAAAAGTGGTGGGAGAGGAAGAGGAAGAGAAGGGGGAAAGAAAAAGGAAGGGGACAGGGTCAAAGGACATTTGTTCCTGATGAAATACAGTGCATTATAGTTGACCATGTTCTTGAGCATGGAATAACCATGAGAAAAGTTGGCCTACAGGGTTTCTATACGACTCATACATAATTACAGTACACAGTCGCATTACTTTAGATGAGTAAATACTGTAGCACAGCTTGTACGACCTTAAACTCGCAATTGTCAAATTGATTTTTTAGCCAAGTACTTCTTACATTTGTAAGTTTGGCAGAACTGAGAGACGGCCTAGAAGAGGTCGAGAAAGTGTCAGGAGACTTAAAAAACTGTTATACCGTAGTATGGCAAATATGGTCACCAATATTGTAATGCAATATGGTTGAGGATGCTGAATTACATTTTTTTTTTATGTACTGTAATTAACAGTATACTGTATTGCACAAGTTCATATTCAGTTCTTTGGTATTTGAACTTTCTTTTCATCTACTGCAATATCTCTTTACAGATGTGTATTGAAAATAAACCTTTCTTAAAGCTTATTGAAATTCTTAAAAATTGTTTCATGAGCTGTGTGTTTATTCATGCAGGGTTCTCAAGTCTCACGCATTGGCCGTGAGACACACGCAATTCAACCAGTTCACACGCTCACACGCCACACAGTGTATTTCTCACGCTGAAAAGGCAATGCCAACCAAGTTGTCCTGCAAGCTTTATATATAACGTTGTATACGAGGCGCAGGCACACAAAGTGAAGTTTCCTGCCGCCAGCGCGTCCGTATCTCGGCCAGATTGCGTTCGTTACTAGGCAACATAGATGCGTGAAGTCCGCGAACACACGGAAGTTGACGGACATATTCTCGGCCACCGCGACATCGCGCGAACACACGTCGTCATGGAGAATGTAAGTTGGAAGAAAGCTCGCCTAACATTTTTAGGCTAGAAGTAGAACATTTAATCGCCCCTCGTATACATTATTGATGCAGTCAAAAACTCTACAACTACTTTGCAACCAGGCAAAGTAATTTTATTTTAAATTATATATTACTGTATTAATAGTCTTTCTAGTTACATTAAGGCTACGTGTATTAAAGCAGAGTGCCCTGGGTAATATTTTATATCCTGTCAAAACATACTAATCATAGCCTAATCATTGCTATTGCATTTGTATTTTTCAAAGATGTCAGGGAAAAATGCAAAAAGATTTGTTTTTCCAAACTGTTTGAAACAATTTGTTATTTGTAATTTTGAAATATAACATTAAAGACTAGGCCTATATTTGATGTGATGAATTGCTCTGTCATTTATCAGATTTACCAACTGCTATAATTTCAATTTGTGCTGGTTATTATGAACAATGCACTCTAAACAATGCTGGGTTGTTTTAACCCAAATTTGGGTCAAATATGGACAAACCCAAATGTTGGGTTAAAAATGTAATTAAAAATGTTAACCCAACTTAAGCTTCCACTTTCAACTGTAAAAAAATTTTTTTTTAACCCAACATTTGGGTTTGTCCATATTTGACCCAAATTTGGGTTGAAACAACCCAGCATTTTTTAGAGTGTGGGTAAAATTGGGGGCGGGGATGGGAGGGGGCGGGGCTCCATTAAGGCTCCTCCCCTAACCGCATGTGATCTCACTCCAAGCTTTTGATCAAACTTGAGAACCCTGTTCATGCAATCATGTAATGATTAAAAACATTACTTAGTTTGAATGTTATATCTATTGCTTATATCATCTATCTATAAATTTTCTTGTAATAGGCAATTTAAACACATTCTACACACACATACAAAGACAACACATTTAGTGATCCCGAACACACACAATCTTCAAGCATACTGACCTTAAACTTGGCTGTGAGGAGTTCAGTGGCCTCCTGCTCCTTCTTCAGATGTTTCATCATCTTCTCCTTCTCCTCCAGGAGTCTCAGTTTGTCCTCCGCCACCAGTGTGTGATCATCTCTGATGGCCTCCTTCTCCCTCTCCAGCTTCTCCTGCTGCTCCTTCATGTAGTCCAGCGCCTCCTTATCCACACTTTCCTCATCATCATCATCATCTTCAACATCATCATCCTCTTCTACCTCTTCCTCTCCACCTTCTCCTATCTTCCTCAGCCTCCTGCTCCTCCTCTTCCTCTTGGTCAGCATACCGCGTTTATCCAGCTGTGCTTTCAGCCGGGCGATCTCCTCCTGGAACTCCCTCAGGAGCGCGTCTTTGGGGTCTTCGTTGACGCGAGGCTTGTTCTTGATGTTCTTGGCTCGGTTGGCGTAACGCAGGGTGGTCAGGGTCTCCTCGTAATTGTAGGAGGCCGGTCCCAGCGTGGCCACCATGATGGTCTTCGCGTTCCCCCCGAGTGAGTCCTGCAGCAACCGGGTGAGTTTGGAGTCGCGGTAGGGCACGTGAGAACTCCTCCCGTCCACCAGCGCAGAGATGACGTTCCCCAGGGCGGAGAGGGACAGGTTGATCTTGGTGGCCTCCTTCAGACGCTCGCCCTGGACGCCCGTCTTGGTCTGCCGCTCACTGCCCGCCAGGTCCACCAGGTTGAGTTTTCCCACACGGATGTGGTTCTGTCCATCAGGCCCGAGCTGGCTGCACTCCACCGTGATGATGAAGATGGCGTGTGACCTCGAGCTGTGCTCGTTCATGTTGGTGAAGCCCACCGATCTGGCCTGGTTCCCCACGTTCATCACGTGCTCGATCTCCTTCACGTTTTTGGTGACGAAGGAGGACAGATCTTTGATGTAGACCCCTGAGTCTGCGCTCTCCTTAAGCTCCAGCTTCTTGCTATGGTCTTTGGTGAGCAGGTCACGGATCTCCTCCTGGTAGATCTCCAAATACGAGGCCCGGACCAGGTACTGCTGGTTCTGAGAGCGCGAGATGTGCGTGAAGATGTGCTCGAACGAGTTCGGGATGATGCCGCGGCGCTCGGGGTCCAGCCACTGGCCTTGCATGGTGTACGTTTTCCCGGTTCCCGTCTGTCCGTACGCGAAGATGGTGCCGTTAAACCCGCGCAGAACCGAGTCGATGAGCGGCCGGACCGTCTCGTCGTACAGGTCGCTCTGTTTGGAGCACGCGTCGTAAACCGCATCAAACGTGAAGGTCTTGAGGAGCTCTCCCGGACCCGCCTTGTGGTTCCGCAGGGCCACCTGGCCCAGTTTCACATCCATCTGCACGATATTCTCATAACCCGTCGATTCTTCTTTACGGTTGATCGGGCGACACCGAACCACCACCTTCACCGCCTCGCCGGTCTTTGACTTCATGGACATATTGACTCCCGTCTGAGATGAGTGGATCACAAATGAATGAGCGCAGTAATGCCCGTTAAACCAGAAGGACGGTGGAAGATGGGAATGTCAGCATCAGCATCCCCCGGTTTCCGAGCGCATAATGTCAGTCACGGCGCAAATCTCTGCGGTCTCCACAAATGAATAAAAGATAAACGCGCTTCCGTCATGAACACGTATGGATGAAATCATAAGCTCGAAATATCTCACCGATTTTCACTGAAAACACAAGATCCAAAATACAAGCGCGCGTCTGGCAGAGAATCACACACATCAGCTGCGCTTCACTGCAGCCCTGCCCAAACACACACACACATAAGGGTTGCCAGATCTCGCATGAGAACCAAGCAATCTGAATAGAGGGGATGGGGATGTTCAGGAATTGGCTCTGCATTATTACAGAAACTTCATATCTTAATTCTTGAGATTCGAAAAGGTCTATTTCCTAAGTGAAAATTGTTACTAACCAGATAGGATTCTCAATGAGATTTTAATAAATGCAGTTATTTTAGAAATTACTTCCCTCAGCATTCTGTTAACAAATAATAAGAAAATTTTAGATTTCAACAGAAATAAATTCAGTACAATTCTTGTGTGTTTACACTCATTTTAATTACTTAAATGCATAAATTCGAATCAGTCCAGCAATTGGCTCTAACCACTAAACACCCAGGCTATACATATTTAAAACATAATGAACAAAAAACAAAAACATTTAACTTAACTAGCTATTCCATTTATTCATTCATTCATTCATTCATTCCTTTAAAAAAAAAATTATGCCACTGATTACAACAAACCACATAGGCTGAATTCAGTTTGATTCACTAAAAAGAACTAAAGCACTGGAGACCAGTTTTATTAGCACCTAGTAGATTAATAAACAAAGAATATAAAATAAATAATAATAATAATAATAAATTAAAACAATATTATATACCCCAAATGGAATATAAACTGAAAACCTCCTCATGAAAAACATGGGCAAAAACATTTATAAAGGGTGAACATGGCAACACACACACACACACACACACACACACACACAATTTTCATGTTTTATTTGGACTTTCCATAAACCATCATTGAAAACTTGATGATTTATATATATTTCAGAACTCTTCACACAGTAATCACAGTATCAGTCAATGAGCTAAACTGTGGATCATTTATCATTGCTTTGGCACAAAATGTTCAAAAAATATTTTCTCACTCCGACAAACACCAGCAAAACTCTATACAGAACAATTTGCACAGGCGTAAACTCTTTTCAAAACTGTTCGACTTAAGTTCAAAACCTAACATAATACAAAATTAAATAAGACAGCAATTTGCTTCTAATGCAACATTGAAAAATATTCTGAATATCAAAAATGAAATACTATCAAAACTATTAGATGCAGCTTTGCCATCTAGCAGATTGCTCATTCTTGTTTTGTAAAGAAACGTTACAAAAGAAAACAAATATAATGCGTATAAACAGTTGTTTTTATGAGTGGCAAGTGTGTTTGTTGGGTGAAAACCTTTGCGTTGGAAGAATGACTTGATTTGAGGCATGAATAAAGGGTTTTGGTAGTTTAAGAGCATTTTGAATGTGAAATTAACTGCTGTGCCAAGCTTGAAGTTTGTTAGAAGAAGTGTGAGTTTTGAAAAAGTGACCTATTGAGAAAAATGTCCTTAAAAACTGTATAAAATCAGATTCCTTCTATTGTGGTCTTGTTTGTGCATCAATGGCGCCATCTAGTGAATTTATAATATATATAGGGTTTTTTTTTCAACCACAAGAGGCTCCAAAAATGTTCTTATCTTTTTAAAATTCATTAGTACTGTGTCTGTGATAAATGATTTTATGCTTATCAAGAGTCAAGAGACCCATGCAGAGGATGCTTCGAGGAGCACTAATATAGCCTGAGTGTCTGACACTAGAATATGATCAGACCAGCTCGAGGGAAGAAGGTTTTAAGCGTGTAATCTGTCAGAGGGAAGCCAAAGCACTTAGTGAAACATCTTGGATGAAATCAATCCACCCTGAATTGAAGAAATAGCTGATAGCGGGGCCTGTGATGATGCTTCCTCTCAAGATGATGCTTTTAGCTGTATAAGAGGCCAACATTCATGATGATTCGACGTATTTACTTTACCTTAAAACTTTTAGACAATAACATGTATTCAAGCTGAAAGGAAAGAATTCTAGTATAACATATTCTGTAACTTCCACATTTGTAAGGCACTACAATTTTCTGTGTATATATATATATATGCCTACACTAAAAAATGCAGGGTTGTTTCAACCCAAATTTGCGTCAAATATGGACAAACCCAAATGTTGGGTTAAAAATGTAATAACATTTTTTACAGTTGAAAGTGAAAGTTGAAGTTGGGTTAAAATTTCAAATTACATTTTTAACCCAACATTTGGGTTGGTCCATATTTGACCCAAATTTGGGTTAAAACAACCCAGCATTGTCTAGAGTGTATATGTAAATTATATTTAAAAAAAATTACAAAATGTATCTGCATGATTAAATGTTATGTGAATGGAAGTTTGAATTATAATAATTAACATGTTAAAGAGATGTTAAATTCTGTTCAGTTTTAAACTATCAGATGACACAACGTGACTCAAACTTTGAATGACATCTGGTGTATTTAACAGAACCAGATGTTTAACTCCACTGTGTCACAGTGTCTGGTTATGTTTCCTGGTTTCCACTAGAGGTCCTCTTATCACGGTGTCATTCACATTAGACTACATTTCCCAACATTCTGTTCTGCCACTCATCTGATCATTGCACACAGCTGTTTCCCGTCACCTTGTTAGTTCTGTGTGTATATATACCCTGTCTGTTCATTGTTTGTCACGGAGTCCTTGTTATTTGTCACACCACTTCTGAGTTCTGTGTTCTTGTCCTGTTTCTCGTGTATGGATTGCTTATATGGATTTTGACCCTTGCCTGGACTGTTGTGAGTACGCATTACCCTTTATTAAATACTGCTCTTGGATCTCACGTCTCTTGTGTGTGTGTGTCGTGACAGAAGGACTCCGTCACAACAAGATCCAGCGGTATGTTTTGCAACATCTCTTCCCCAGCCACTGAGCGGGAGAGAAGGGAATTGTTTAAGGGGACCCGGTTGGTAAAGTTCCGCGGGACCCGTGGAGGTCGTCGTAGAGGTGATAGAGACATGTTTCACGTCCCGTCTGCCCAGCCAGAGACTGTTCACGTCCCGTCTGTCCAGCCAGAGACTGTTCACGTCCCGTCTGCCCAGCCAGAGACTGTTCACGTCCCGTCTACCCAGCCAGAGACTGTTCACGTCCCGTCTGCCCAGCCAGAGACTGTTCACGTCCCGTCTGCCCAGCCAGAGACTGTTCACGTCCCGTCTGCCCAGCCAGAGACTGTTCACTTCCCGTCTGCCCAGCGAGAGACTGTTCACGTCCCGTCTGCCCAGCCAGAGACTGTTCACGTCCCGTCTGCCCAGCCAGAGACTGTTCACTTCCCGTCTGCCCAGCGAGAGACTGTTCACGTCCCGTCTGCCCAGCGAGAGACGGTTCACGTCGCGTCTGCCCAGCGAGAGATAGGACACGCTCTGTCTGCCCAGTCAGAGACTGAGCACGTCCAGTCTGCCCAGTCTGAGACAGATCCGGAAATGTCCATTTGTGTGGCCGCCAAGGCACTTACGGACTATTTGGAACGTTTGGCGCGGATCCTGGATATGTCAGTGTCTGCTGTTCCTGAGCCGGAGCCAGTGTCTGCTGTTCCTGAGCCGGAGCCAGTGTCTGCTGTTCCTGAGCCGGAGCCAGTGTCTGCTGTTCCTGAGCCGGAGCCAGTGTCTGCTGTTCCTGAGCCGGAGCCAGTGTCTGCTGTTCCTGAGCCGGAGCCAGTGTCTGCTGTTCCTGAGCCGGAGCCAGTGTCTGCTGTTCCTGAGCCGGAGCCAGTGTCTGCTGTTCCTGAGCCGGAGCCAGTGTCTGCTGTTCCTGAGCCGGAGCCAGTGTCTGCTGTTCCTGAGCCGGAGCCAGTGTCTGCTGTTCCTGAGCCGGAGCCAGTGTCTGCTGTTCCTGAGCCAGTGCCAGTGTCTGCTGTTCCAGAGCCTGAGCCAGTGTCAGTGTCTGCTCCAGAGCCTGAGCCAGTGCCAGTTTCTGCTCCAGAGCCGGAGCCAGTGCCAGTGTCTGCTCCTGAGCCGGTGTCTGCTCCTGTGCCGTGGCCGCCCGAGGGGTCGTCTCCGCCCTGGCCGCCCGAGGGGTCTTCACCGCCCTGGCCGCCCGAGGGGTCTTCACCGCCCTGGCCGCCCGCACAGCCTGCTCCGCCCTGGCCGCCCGAGGGATCGTCTCCGCCATGGCCGCCCGAGGGGTCGTCTCCGCCCTGGCCGCCCGAGGGGTCTTCACCGCCCTGGCCGCCCGCACAGCCTGCTCCGCCCTGGCCGCCCGAGGGGTCGTCTCCGCCCTGGCCGCCCGAGGGGTCTTCACCGCCCTGGCCGCCCGCACAGCCTGCTCCGCCCTGGCCGCCCGAGGGATCGTCTCCGCCATGGCCGCCCGAGGGGTCGTCTCCGCCCTGGCCGCCCGAGGGATCGTCTCCGCCATGGCCGCCCGAGGGATCGTCTCCGCCCTGGCCGCCTGATAAACTGTCTGTCTCGCCTTGGCCGCCGGCTGAGCCATCACCCCCTGTTCTTGTTCCCCTTCATGGACCTGGCCCCCCATCCCTCCCCCTGATCCTCCACCGCTCCACCTCCTGCCTAGACTCTTGTTTGTTTGTATGGTCTTGGAGCGTCTGGTAGCCGCTCCGTAGAGGGGAGGTTATGTCACAGTGTCTGGTTATGTTTCCTGGTTTCCACTAGAGGTCCTCTTTATCACGGTGTCATTCACATTAGACTACATTTCCCAACATTCTGTTCTGCCACTCATCTGATCATTGCACACAGCTGTTTCCCGTCACCTTGTTAGTTCTGTGTGTATATATACCCTGTCTGTTCATTGTTTGTCACGGAGTCCTTGTTATTTGTCACACCACTTCTGAGTTCTGTGTTCTTGTCCTGTTTCTCGTGTATGGATTGCTTATATGGATTTTGACCCTTGCCTGGACTGTTGTGAGTACGCATTACCCTTTATTAAATACTGCTCTTGGATCTCACGTCTCTTGTGTGTGTGTGTCGTGACACACTGTGACTCACATCAGCAGATTGACTTACAGCCCTCAACTACGCCTCTGCTGACTGTCAGTGTGTGTTCAAGACTGTCAGACTTAAAACCCAGTCGAATGAGGTGAAGAAGCCTGAGAGCGAGAACTAGGCTAAAAGCTCACACGTGGCAAATAAAATCAAATAAAAACTGAAACATCTGAGCAAAACGAAATTCCTGTAATATTCCAGATTCATGCGGTGTGGAGCGGGACAGTTTGGAAACAGGAAAGGGAGAGTGACTCACTGACAGATATGAAGGAATATTAAACCTCTAGCAGTTCGGAGTCCCAGCAGGTTTCTTCATGTTTATGGGGAAATGTTGCCCAATGACTCACAAACAATAGCCAGACTCTCCGAATCTCACAAGACGAGAGCAGGACTCGTTCCAACTTACAGTTTGTGCTCTCTTTCCCCCCATTAAAACCCCCCGTCTAAATGGGGCATTTTGATTTATTCTCCTCAAGGATACAGTTGGCATCATGGTACTTTACACTCTTAAAAATAAAAGTTCTTTATGGTTCCATGAAGAACCTTCAACTTTGAATCTTAATATTCCACTACAGAGAAAAAAAGGTTCTCAGATGTTCTTCACACAAACAAATGGTTCTTTTGCAGTTGTTCAAGTTTTACAGTTTTTTTTTATTCGCTTTGGTACTATTTTCACAAGTAAGGTGTACATTTTCAAAACTCTTACAAAAATCCAAACTGATCACACTTTTAACACAGAGTCCTTCTTTCAAAACCTGATGCCATGCTTTCATTACAGTTATACACTTTCAATTTAGCACTTTTAACAATCAGTTCATTCAACAGCAAACAATGCAAGATGTTTCAAATCACCCATGTTGCTGAATTAATTACAGTAATACAGGATACAGTTGCCACATTAGAAAATACACGTATATTACCATGTAATTGAATCCATAATGTCTGTAATATCTATCCAGTGTGCTATCAAAAGGTGTGATGAAGTATGACACAGCATGTGTTTCTGTGCTAGAACGGGCAATACAGTAAATGATTTCACTTTATACCATATGACTGAATCTATACTGTAGTGGACCATTACAGATGAAGGGTGAGTTACAGTAATGTGGCCGTCTCTGGTAATCTGTTTACAGTATCACATGGCATACACACTGTATTCAATGCCATCTGTCTCCCTTCTACTGATGCATCTCTGATCAATCTGATGATCAGAGGCAGTTACTGTGAATGAAACATTTATGTATAGATGAAACACTTATTGTGTGCAGTGAAAAGGATTTTGTGAATTGTACTAACACAATTGAAAACATAATGAAATGTTTGAAAAAAGTGCACTTTTGATGATCTGTTGTGATATTAGCACAAAGAGTTAACACCTAACTTGTGAAAATAGTACCAAAGCGAATAAAAAAAAGTGTAACATTCTAAACTTTAAATGCAATTGTCACAACTATTATAGGGCACATCACAACTCTATTAAATGTCTGGAAAATGTTTCACCCAAAACATTTAATTCATGTTTCAAAACAGTTTTTGTGTGTTAGTAATTTGGTGAATACCCCCCCCCCCCCCCCGCCCCCAAAATGTTTGTCGTCATGTGAGCACATAATGATAAAAATGTTTTATTACATTGGCAGTAAACCATGGAAATGTTTGCTATATACAAATTGTATTAATTTATTTAATAGTTTATTTAAAAGGGACTAGACAACCCATGACTGCTCCAGATTCGAGCTAAATTTCATCTGTCCCTGGGCAGGGAGAAAAGAACATAGGATCACATGGCATAGTTAAAACGATAAATAATACGTAAAAACACCTTAAGCATACATTACAGTTAATAACAATTACACAAACTTACACCGTCAATAAGGAAAAAATAAAATCAATCAATAAATATTTTTTTTTCAACTTGGATAAAAGCGTCTGCAAAAATGAATAGGCCTAAATGTAGCCCAAAAAAGTAAAACAAATATACAAAGAAAATGAGTGCATGATAAGCATGGCTTTGCACATGTAGGCCTACGTATTGCAATGAAGTACCACGTTTCAGCATTGTCAGCGGATAACTTATATTCATTGTCATTTGGAAATGTTCTAAAAGGGACACGCCCGGACTGACGTCAGCGTGTTTGACTAAACATCTGGATTCGTCACGGTGATCCAATCACACCCCGCAGCGATGGTCCGGGACGGAAACTAGCTGTCGGGCCACGGAGTGTGTCGTTTACGGGCCAGGTTCTGGGCTGCGCCAGCTGCATTCGCCCTCCCCGAAAAGCTACGTCAAAGTATCCGGACGCTTTGTGCCCCGTCCAATCAGCGTACGAGATAGATTTGAAAAACGGCGCAGTCGGCCAATCAGAAACCCAGGCGCTGACGTAGGGGCGGGAAGAGAGGCGTGGCTCTGAAATCTAGGGTGTCGCCGTGGTGGCTCCATTCGAAGGCGACGGCGGTTGGTCGGTCGTCTATGTGTTTGTCCTCTTCTAAACTTCACAAACGGACCCGGTAAGGACTGTCGTTACGGAACCGGCTGTCAAACGAGATCTACGCGGTTCGGCATCGCTGGGATGAAGCGGAATAGCTTTCATTTAAATCAGATCGCTGGTGTAGTTTGAAGAAAGAAAGTCGGGCGGAGGAGCCATTTTGTCCCGACAGTGTGTGAGAGAAAGAAATACTGAGACATTAAAAACACCAAACACCACGCTTTGAGAGGAAACACGCATCTTAAATATATCCTTAGGAATATAAAAAGAGTCTACAGAGGAAATCAACGCAATTCAGCTGCGAAGAGACTGTCCGGTGTGTGTTTTCGGATAACAGACACACACTTTCCATTTAACACACACTTAGTCTCTATTCGCTTCTCATCAGTGTGTGTTTATAATAGCTCAGATGGCGAAGAAGACATATGATCTGCTCTTTAAACTGCTTTTGATTGGTGATTCTGGGGTGGGAAAGACCTGCGTGCTGTTCCGATTCTCTGATGACGCCTTCAACACCACCTTTATCTCCACTATAGGTGAGACACACACACACGAATCTACCCGGTCTAAGGGTTTTAGTCATTGTTTTAGGTGAGATATGCGGTTAGATGTGTGTATACATGGTGACTAGGCCTTGATTCTGGGCTTCAGCATGCTAACCGGCTAACTGATTCATATCAGCTAAGTGAATCACCTCAGTTGATTCAGAATCATGTTGTAGAGTTGTGAAGCTTGTTGTGGTTGTCTATTAAACGCCGTCCTGTCTGTTTGGATCAATGTTATTGTTATTGTTGAGGTTATTTGGCTAAAGTTCGCGCCACCATGCGAGTTGACTGACAAATAGCAATTTGATGCCAGATGATTTAAATTAATGGTTTTTCGATGATCGACTTATGAATATGTATATATGTAGTATATCTCTGTATATGTAGCATACTTATTATTTCGTCCAGATGAGATCTATACATCGTGAATTGCTTAGGTTAAATGTTAAATGTTCAAGCGGCCTGTTACATGCAGTAACCCCAAAAATCCATCACTCCTAAGTGTTAAACCATGTTAACATAATAGTACAAAACACATTTACTGTGCCACTAGTGCGTTTAACCTGTCAGTTTGTTGAAATAATCGATCATAAGTTATAAAAAAAAAGAACCATAAACAGTTCAGTAATGTGGCGTCATCTGCTGCTCTACTGCGCATGCGCATTTATGCCAATAGAGTGGTTGCCTAACTGTGTTCTCTGCTAAATCTGTCATTTCATTATGATATCATGGGAAAGGCACATTTGAGATGGGTTTTTGCTAGTCTCTGTGTATGTTTACTTTAGTTTTTGGGTTATGGCCATGTGTGAGAGTTGCAATCTTAAAACCCTTTCATAAAAAAAGTATTTTAAAACTCCCATTGTACCACTGTGAATAATTATTGTTATGCCAGGGTTTTTCCAAGGTATCTTTCAAGTGGACTGTGATACCGTGGTACTTTCTGTAAGCATCCTAAAAGGGCCACATTCAATTTGATCAGTTGTATTGAGTGTAAAGTCGTTTTCTTGCTTTCCTGCTTACTTGACCTTTTTTTTAGCTGTCAAATCCATCATCTGTCACCTGTCAATCATCATTTAACATGTAAATGCCAGATGGAAAGCTTGTCTTGATTGATTTGGATGCCATTGTTGCAATATAACAGACTTCCTTATCCTCACTCTTCCTCTGTTCATATCCCTGGAAGGTAAATGCAAAAATGAGAGTTAAAGTTGAAATGAGAAGCAGGCCGTACCTGTTAGATCACAGGAACTACATGAGAATGTCATACGGCAGATGCTCTTGAACTCAGTTTACGGACAGCAGGGTCATTTCTCTGGGGGTAACAGGAGATCTCAGTGTCGCACCAGTTCACGGGGCAAATTTAGACACAGCCGGCCCTGTCCGTTTATCTTAAAGAACTGATACTAGATGCTCTCGCACTGACATTTTGTCTGATTTTGAAGAAGAAATATCCTGCAATTGTAGAGTTTTGGCTGAAGAAAAGCTTAGATCTTGTAACTAGTGCTGCCACTAACGACTAATTTTCTAACGACTAATCTTTCGACTAATTTTTCGATTAGTCGACTAATCTAAACGACTAATTAAAAAAAAATCAAGTGTTTATTTCGTTGTGTCCATTTTATTTTGAACTCAACTGAAGGGCCAAAACATAAAATCAGGGCTCAACATAAAAAAAAATCTCCACTGGCCCCTAGGGCCAGTAGATCAGAGTTTTGCTGGCCCCTTCTATATTTTTACTGGCCCTGAAAGAAATATAAGGAAAAGCCCTTTTCCATTAAACTGTATTTATTGTATACATTAGGATTAATTTTTCTTGTCCCCTCACAATGACAGTAAACTAATTATTACATTACATGAGTGATGAGTAACGTTACATAGGCCTATTTTCACTTCAAAATGGTGAAATTAAACAAAAGTATATTAGTTTGCCTGATTATTTTTGTCATTCGTTTAACATTTATGACCTAAAAAAGCTATAAAAAAAAAAAAAATGAAGAACAAAACAATGTTGAAATTGAAGGATGGGAAACAAATATAGGGAATGTAATGTAGGCTATGCAATAGGCTATATTATGTGCAAAAAGGTGGTTCAAATCACATTACATTCTAAAATTGTAACGTTACAATCTAAAAACTTTGTTTTTAAAATGACTAAAGGCTAAACTAAAAATTTAAATAAAAACAAAAGCAAACACTAATTATTTTTAGCCTGCATTTGATTACCCCATTATAATGGTCATTGGTCACTTTCATAAAAATATACTTGTAGGTTTAAAATTCCACATATGGCACATTTATTGTCTCCAACAACAAATATTTTAGCAACATGTATATTTTAGTCAGAATTATTGCGCTACTCTTCTATTGTGCTCGTCTGTTAGAGGCGCGCGTGCTCGCGGCGGCGCTCATTAACGGAAGCTTGAATTTTAGCGGAGATTCACTTGCAGAAGCTCGTCCTCCCCTGACAGTGAAATGGACATATTTGTTTGACTTTCTAACATTTACAGATGGAGAATATACCCGTGAAATGTAAGTTAAGCACTGAGGAAAGCACCACACGTCAAACGCATTAAACAGCGCCAGTATTTATCTGTCAGTCAGCAACAGTAAGTTATCTGTCAGAGCATCTGACAGGGCTGCTTTAAACTTGTTAACTATATCTTACTAGTTATTTTGAAGCGCTTAATACTAGCTTGTGTCATGTTTAGGACAATTGTAGGCTACTATGTTCTTTCACTGCAGGAGCTCACACTGCTTCCTCCGCTATATTTTTCATTTGTGCTCGTATCAAACTAGCCTACTGTATCGATATAAACGGTATTGCCTCATTCCATATCGTTTAAAAAAAATCGATATATTGTACAAACTCGATATATGGCCTACTGCCCAGCCCTACTAGGAATGTCCTCTTTCTTGTATAAGCCTCGTAGTTCTTTGACATTTTAACACGTTATAAATAACCTGAAGTAACATTGACACTCTTCGCGCCACTGTGCATCATGACGTTTGCTGTTTGTTTTGCTGATGGCCATTCACTGGCCCGCGCGGGCCAGTGACTGGCCAATCAACTAGCCCGACATACTCTTTTACTGGCCCCGGGCCATCGGGCCATCGGGCCATTGCTTATGTCGAGCCCTGATAAAATGTCACCTGTTCAAAAACATTATGTATTAACAATCTAAGCATTAAGTATCTGCATTTCCATTAGGCTATACCATATTAGTCAGAGTCCTAATCTAATCCTCTAATAACAAACATGTATGTATTACTTAAATTAGCTCTTTGTTCTGCCTTAAAAAAAATGTACAGTAAGCTAATAATGATTAATTTATGTACATTTCTGAAAAGCATAACTGATAACATCACTCTGAATAGTAAAGTAGATGCAATGCATTTTCTGTGAAAAGCGCTATACAAATAAATTGGAATTGAATTGAAAGAGTCTGGACTAGCCCACTATGAGTCGCGCTGAAAGCAGGCAGGCACGCACGCAGTTATGTAGCTCGCGTTTACACTTGGCGGGCCCGTGCCGCGGTTCGCGTGAATGTGAAAGCAACACGGACTCGGGAGCGCTTGTTCAGTAAGTTAAGTAACCTGCCCATGCGTTTTAGCTGATTATGATGCATTTAGTTAAATAAAACACATGTAAGGGATGATAGTGTTGATGATTTACCTTGGATACGCGAGAGTTGAGTCTGCAATCAGGGCAACACATTTGGAAATCCACTGTCTCCTCAAAAGAGTCCGTTTGAAAAACACAATATATTGACCCGCGTTCTGTTTTCTATCATGCGCCGTGCACGTTTGCGATGGCGATGCACGCAAACGTACAGGATTCGATAGAATTGAGTGTGAAACCAGACCAACGCTGCGGAGGGCGCCGGGAACAATCGCGCTCGGACTCGGACCGCAGCAAACGAGCCCACTGTGAAAGTTCCGTCACCTGCCTCCGCAATTTTTCATATCAAAGCAGTGAAGGCGGGCGGGAACATGAAGGAAAATGATAGCAGATAAACCAGCAGGGCGCACAGACTGGTGTGTGGAGGTGAATTACAGTGAGCCGTTTGTGACGGGAGACCAAAAATAAATAGCGGTCAATAGTAAAACGACACGTCGACTAAAAAAATTGCCGTCGACTAATTTGCATGGGCGATTACGTAGACTAAGTCGACTAATCGCGGCAGCACTACTTGTAACTGTTAGATGTTACTAGGGGTGGGAATCTCTAGGCACCTCACGATTCGATTCGATTACGATTCAGAGGGCTGCGATTCGATGCTAAATCGATTATCAGAATCTTTTTTTTGTGTGTGTGTGACTATAAATACTTTGCTTTAAAAGTACAAAGTAATGACCCATAAAGAATTAACGTACAATATATTTTATTAACATTGCAAAGAACCAACAGGAAAATACATGTGTGTCTGAACTAGCAGCAGCATATTTGTAGTAAATTAATAATATAACAACGACCGGTAACGTTACAGCCGAGTGTTTTTCCTCCTCTGGCTGGAAACGTGTCATTTGTCTTCATTTGTCTTGTTTCCGAAATATTTTAGTTTTACTCTACAAAGCTTACAACTAGTGTGGCTCTTGTCCAGCTCCTTTCCCCCTTCAACTTCAGAAGCCAAAATATTTCCACACGTCAGCTTTTAACGAGGAGGGTGTTTGGATTTGGCGCTCAGCCATCGCGTCCGCGTCTGTTATGTGCACGCCACAGACGGTCCGGCCACTGCACTTCCGCGCTTCAGAGTTCCGTCTTTCGCGTTCCGTCAATATTACGTTATTATAAATATATATCTAAAAATTTTTTTTTTTTTTGAAAATCGATTTTTGACAATTGTGAATCGATTCAGAATCGTCCACGTCCGCATCGCGATGCATCTAAGAATCGATTTTTTCCCCCACCCCTAGATGTTACTCACCTCAAGCTTTGTCAACATGAAATCAAAATTGAATTAAAGCATTTTAATTACAGTTTTCATATTCTC